CCAGAACAGCTACAGCCTCTAACGAGATATTGCGATTTTTGGGGGGGAAAAATGGTCATATTGACCTAAAGTGGTATGCATTGAATAGTTATGAGCAAATGAAAAAGTCTTGTTTTTTATGTAAATTAAGTTTGGCAATGTGACCGATTGCAAATCAAAAATTTGTTCTCGTACTTGCTTTAAAGTATAGGTTTACAGTTTTTGTCTGCTAACACAGGATTTTTACCTGAAAACCTACACTTTCTCCTTGTGTTTCTAATGCTTACTAAACTATCAATACACTGCCATATTACATTCCAATCATAAACGTCCCTTTAAGTACATTGCTGTATACACTGAAGAATAAAGTAAGCTATACATTTGGAAGTCTGATTTAAAGTGTGATAATTGTCGCACCACGCATGCACGATATATATGGGTCTCATATAAACAAAGATGGTGACTTTGACTGATGTGCAGATCAAAGAGTACAAACTGAGACGTTACCAAGCTTTATTTGGGTATTTTTTAGGTGGTTGGATTTAAGGTATCAAAGAAGTCACTGGCAATAATTAGTACAAGTCTGGCGACAGGTCAAAGTTCATACTTGCGCATTGGATTTTGGAAAAATCTGTTTATCCACACTAATGTCGCACATGCACAACACGACGACTACCTCCCTGTAATTTGCCTTCAAACTTGATCACTGTGAACCAAATTTGGTGTTTTTTCATGTCATTGCACCCAGTAGTCAGTTTCAAGTATTTATACAGGCATAACCTGTATTTGAAGGGTTTTTTAGCACTTTGTAAATACTTGAAAATTGTCAAGACCAACTTTAGAACATGAAGATCAATTTTAACAGTTTGAACGGGAACTGTGTCATTTTCAATGACTTGTTATTTGTATAACAAACCATTACAATTTGTTGATGATATAAAGTACCTTGGATACATAGTGTCAGCCTCTGGAGATGATGCTACAGACATGCGTAGACAACTCAGGTCAATTTATGCAAGGGCAAATCTTATTTTGAGAAGTGCTCGAAACATGTGAAATGTACTCTTTTTCGCTCATTTTTATATAGTAACTATTGCTTAAATGTATGGAGCAATTATACTGTTAAGCAGATGCGTGCTCTGCATGTAGCGTACAACAATGCACTTCGGTTGATTTTTAAATTAGAGAGGTCGAGTAGTGCAAGTGGTAATTGTGTCAGAAGAAATATTTTCAATTTTTCAACACTTCATAGAAAATCATTGTACAATTTTAAACAGCGATTGTTTCAGAGTGACAATAGTATAATTGATAGTTGTATAAATAGTGATTTATTCCTAAGGTCTAGTTTTTGGCGCAATTATAGACGCCTTCTTTATAAATAATGTTATTTCTGTTGTAATTTCTCTATGGACCTTTGAGTCTGAAATAAAGTATAATAATAATAAGTGCATATTATGCAGGTGATGGCCATTGCTACACTAGCTAGCTGTTATGATAATCAGGATGTCTTCAAGAAAGTAGTGAAGATAAGAAAAGGCCAAGCTGTAAGTCTAATGATGCAGGCAACAAACATGGAGAACCTGAAGAGTATTATGTATAATTATGCTAAGCAGGTAAGTTATACAAAATTTGCAATAATTTTTTCGCTTTAATTGTACTCTAAATTAAAATGGTAGAATGCAACAATGCTGCAAAAAGATATGGGTGTGGCTTCTATTACAGATATGGCTTCTAATGCAAATTATATTGTCTATTACTAACACATGCACTTGTGCTGCTGGCAGAAATGTAACTGTGTTCCAATTTCAACAACAACCTTGCACAATTATAGTTTTTAAAAAAAGGTCCCAACCATGACATAATGATTCATTAATGTCATTGCAGATACAGAAGATGATTCCCCCTTGTGATCCATCAAGTGATGAGACAACAACAATAACAACAGAAATCATGGAATTGAGTAAGGGTGGTCAAGTAAGACGATGCAGTCCATTCATACCGATATATGTTTCCTGTGGAATGATGTTGACTGCTATAGTGTACCAGTATTGGACAAATATTGTACAAATCTATGATGATTGTGTCTAAGAATAGCACTGTGTTGATAATGAAATGAATTATGTAATAAATAACAGCCAACTCTTAGGGGAGCCTCTGGTTAAGAATCACCGAGCGCAACGCCCAATGTGATTCTAAGTCAGAAATCCTGAGGAAGCAACAGTTATCTGACCTAAACCAAATAATCTCTATCCAATGCTATTTCCTGTTTCAATAGGCTATCATTGCCAGAGCACTCTTCTAACAGAGAATGGTTGTTTCAGCAAGATTTTGTCAGTATCACTCCTTGTTTGAAATAATCAGTACTTATTTACATATTGTCTTGAATGATCATTGCCATGTATATGTGTGTTATGTAACAAAATCAGTGTACACAACATATCTGACAAATTTGTGTATATATAATCATGGGCAATTTATTGCATTCCTTTACAAATCACATTTCGTGGGTTTTTTGGCCCTCTCCATCCTAGTCTGGATGCATGGAGTCGGGAACAGCCACTGGTGGCGCTGTATATAATTGTGACCTATTTCAGCTTGCCGTAGCTCATTTAGATTTTATTGTAAAACGAAAAAGTAGATGTTAAATTTGATGACCAGTTTAGTATGATAGAAAGCGTTTACAGTCTTCAAATAACCACAATAGACAGAGTGGGGGTCAAGACTGAATATATATGATTCAGGCATTTCATACTAAATGCTTTCTATTAATTTCACTTTCAAGTAACATTCATGAGATATGTCTACGTCATAACCTCGTAAAGGTTATTAGCATATTGTGTACGCAGTGCGCATGCTTCAGGCTCCTTTTCTGTATTCAACAACGCATACATCGTCACAGCGAGGTCAATTGAAATTTACGTTACTTGCAACATAACGTTCAGCACCGTCAACGGGTTTCACTCTTTGTGATGTTGCGATAACTATATATTTGATTAATGAGTAGAATCGAGGCAAAATTTCAAGACTCGTATAGAAATGGACAAAGGACCTGCAATATAATTGGAAGGTAGCCAGGCTACCAATCCCCTGTTAAGAGTGATCATTCCGGGATTTTAAATATCAGGGTTTAAATTTTGGGAAGTTATATAACTTTCCTGATGTTAGAACCTCTTGACCCTGTGTGCATCGTTGTCAAAACCCTTCTCAGTCAGGAAATGGCTCTCTTGGTGATGTTCTACCAGAATTACGTGTTGTATTTTTAATTATATAAGCTTTAGTTACATCCATGAAGGTTTTTCAGTCATTATTTCAAATTAACAGTCAATGCATAATGCATCTGTATTTGTTATGCAGTCTGAAATTAGTATATTGCTGTGGTAAAAATGATAACATCATGTGATTTATTTTCTCCTGTTTGAAGATGGGTAAAATCATGTCAATATTGTCCATATTATATCAGAAGTGGTAATTTCACACGTGATGGCACAACTATGAAAGATTGTACAGCATGATAATGTACTGTAAACTGCTTATTTATACTTTGTTGTACTGTAATATACTGCTGATACATTATTAACTTATATGTAAATTATTAAATAAACAAGGTATCGATCTACCAATAATTGCTTCAATTAGAGTCGTAAACTCAAAATCAAAATTAGAGAATTGAAGATATCATCACAAAATGAACAAATCTAAGAGGTCTGCCCAAGGTAGTTTTCAAGAAGTAGAAAAAGTTGACATGGATGACTGACGACAATGGACGGCGAGAGACAATCACTCACTCTGCTCGACGAAGACGACAGTGGAGCTAATAAATATGAAAAACAAAATTATATAGTTTTTTTTTTTTGTGTTTACAACATTTTTTTATTGGGCTTCTTTAATGAAGTTACATAGCATATAAAACTTATGAAACCTTAGTATTTTCTAGTGTACATTAT